AGGGAAACGACGCAGGGAAAAAGTTAAGGAAATTCTATTCCCGGGAAACGATATTGAATGTAATAAATTTTTTTTTCAATTTTATTTTTTTTTTTTTTTTTTTTTTTTTTTTTTTTTTTTTTTTTTTTTTTTTTACTTAAAATAATTTCGCTTTTTGTTTATATTATCTTCTTAAATCCTTTAATCCTGGTAAAACACACATATAATAGGTATTCCCAAGAAAGATGAGATATAATAATGCAAAATTGGTGTTAGGAAGAAAAAGGATTTCTCGTGTTCATTAATTTTAACGAATGCTTATAGAATGCCTTTAGCGTTTTATGATTAAGCATCGTTAATGGTTTAATGAAAGTTTTTCGTCATCATCACCAAAAGAGAAGTTCCACATGGCACGAAATTAGTTTAAACAAAATTTATTGCTATTATTAAAAATTTGAAATTTTTCAAATAATTCATTTTTTTTTTTGTTTTTTTTTTGTTTTTTTTTTTTTTTTTTTTTTTTTTTTGCATGTAAAAATTTTTGCATCCTGTAATGTTCTATATATCTAATATTATATACAATATAAAATAATATTTTATTTAATTAATAAAATTAATTTCATCAATACCAATTTCATAATTACAGATCTGCAAATTTTATTTTTTTAAACAAATTAATTGTTATTAAATCTCTCTCATAGTTCATTAGCATACATAATTCATTATTAAGTTATAAACACTTCGATCTTTTTTTATTAACTAAATAATCAGACAAATATTGACAAATATATATATGTTTGTATTATTATTATTATATACGTATGATGGTTAAAATAAAATAAAATAATACAAGAAAATAAATTGCTAAAAATATCGTTGTTAAAAATATCGATATTTCTGTGAAAATATCTGAAAATATTTCTGTTGATCATAATAAACTAATAAAATTGTAATAATAATAATAATAATAATAAATGATAATAATAATAAATAATGATTTATAGGAAAATGAAACTAATTATTATTATTTCCACCATTTATTAGCTTGTTCGAATTGCTTTTTCCAGAACAGCTTCAAAAGATACTTCGGAAAAATCTGTTCCTTGTATTTCAATGGAAGGATTAAGTTTTTTACGAAAAGCTTCCTTGCTTGAAGCATAAATCATCTTGGGCTTGATTCTAGCTGTATCGGGAATCCTACAAATAATATATAATATTGATATTATGTTAATGTGGTTTTAAATCACCGACATGAACTTTTTTAAAATGTTTCATCTCTTATGTTATGAATTTCTTATAAATATAATGAATTCCTTAAATATAATGAATTCCTTATAAATATAATAAATTCCTTCTTTATTATGTTACGAATTCATTATTATTACGCATTTATTTCAACAAAATTTTAAAAAGTTTTAATTTGTTTTTTCTCATTATTATTGAAGAGACAACCAATATCTATATTTTCATGATTATTCTGTCAACAACAACAATAAAAAACGTAGAAAACATACCAGGAATAGAAAACGATCTTGCTACGATGACCTTCACCTGGTTTTTCATATTCGAAATCGTAAACAGCATAACGAGGTTCGTTTTCAGGAAGGCAAGCAACAAATTCCTCATAAGTTCCGTCTTGGACTTTCTTTTCAATGTTGATTTGTTCATGATTATCAGAAATTTTGAATGTAATATACTTGTATGCTTTTTTATGTTTGAGTAGTTCATATTCTTTTACACATTCGTCGTTAACCTCAACGCCACTTGCCTATATTTGAAATTATTGAATTTTTAGTATTTGGATTAATTAAAGTAATAAACTTTGCAGTTTGAATCTTAGACTTACCATTTTGATAATAAATTCTTAAAGGGAAACAAGAGGTATTAGTTTTTTTTTTTTTTTCGCTAAATGTCATAATGTGCGCAATGTTCCAATAACCAATCAAAATTATTAAAATTTTAGGGGTTCAGGTCATTAGATCTGGACCCTTTCATCATATAAATTTTGCGAAACTCTCATTATGAAATAAACATACGGTTTTTTAATTTTTGAATTTTACTCGGTTCATGTAGAATGACAACATCGATTGATAAAATACAAAATTACCTTTTGCATCATTTATAAAAAAAATCTTCTGATTTTTGGGTTTAATAGAATTATTCGTGTAATGAGAAAAATATAAAATTCATTGATATTTTTATCTACCCATATCCAAGCAATTTTATCTATCGAAACGTAACAACTTGACACTATGCCTATGGACCCTTTACTGATAGAAAACTTCAGGGGAAGCCTAAATTATGCCCAGAATGCAACCGAGATTTCAGTCCATATACTTGGTGGTGTGAACCTTGCAACTCAATACATTTCAAAAAATGAATTTAACAAGTGGACAAATGGAAATGATGGAATAGACAAATTTAATCAAGATATTTGACTAAAAACTGTTTATGGGAAAGATACGACGATCTTAGAGTGGTATTAAAAAAGTTTGACGGTATTATAGATCTAAATGAGGATTTCTTAAATGAGGTAAAGTAGTATTTTAAATTAATTTGGAAATTTATTTGAAAATGTATAATAATTTAAAATCATTTCAAAATAAAAAGCGTATCAACTGGATTTCATCGAATTACAAAAGATGCAGAAACTCACGAATATATGAAAATTTCGACTGCAAACATTTGTCAAATGAAAACAACCGATTTTGGATTGAGCAAATTAATTACAAAAACATCAAAAAATCCTTAAAAGAATAACATTCCTGGAGTATTACTTTATATAGCTCCTGAAGTATTAATTGGAGGAGAATATACAAAGGCTGCTGACGTTTATTCATTTGCATTTATAATAATTACTGGACTTCCTCCGTATCATGATAAAGATTTAGCTATGAAAATATGTAATGGATTCCAACCGAAAATTCCATTTCATATACCTAAATTAATTAAATTAATTACACAAATTATTATACGATATTGAGATGCTCGAATTACACATCGACCCACTTTTGAAGAATTATACCAAGAGTTATACGAATACTATTGGGATTATGACGGAAGAAAAGGAATAATAATAAAATTACAATTCAAATTAAAGAAGCCGAAGAATATTCCAAAATCGAACTGATACAACAACTACGACTTCAATGAATTACAAAACACATCCGCAAGCAATTTATACATGTAGACTTCTCGGTTTCAAATCTTTTAAATGGACTTAATTTTGAAAAAGAACTCGAAGAATTAACAAAATCTTTTTATCAAATAAATGATAGTAAGTATCAATTATATATTTTTCATTCCTTAATTATTTATATTTAATTTATATTTAAAAATTTTTTAATTAGGTGATAATGATGATGATTTATTTTGATTTATAAATTTTATTTAACATCATGTATTTTTTATTTGTATTTTATTTATTAATTTTTGATATAAAATCTTAACACTAAGTATAAAGTATGATGAAATTATTTATATAACCTAGTTTGTAATTAAGGTTTTTTTTTATTAAATAAAATATCTTAATTTTTTATATATTGCGGATGATGAACCGAACCAAATATATTTCGAACAATAAACTATTAGCATTTATACATGGTTTCGAAGTTCTCTTGGTTCTTACAAAAGATTATTATAATGTTTATCATTATCATTTATCTGTTATACAGTAATAAAGTTTATCCAGTATAATAAGTTCATCTAGAATGATTTAATTCATCTGATCAATATCTTAAACTCCAGTTAATCATAATTGGCAACACAAAATCATAAATCTACGACACTAGTTTTTAAAATATTTTAACATTTATAAACCCAGGCTGACCTTTAACTCCTGAGTAGAGTTATAAAATATTATAACCAAACCTATCCTTTCGGAGCACTAACTACAGATCTGGCTGGTAATTTTTCAACCTGTATAAAGAAAAAAGAATTTGCTATGTGAATTGAGATTTTATTTTTTAAAAATTTCAAAAAGAAATTAATGACATTCCTATATATATATAATTTGTTAAAATATTTAAGGTTACACGTGATAATTAGCCAATAATATTTTCTATATACTTTTTGTACATTTTACATGTCCAAGGTCCACGTCCGCGCCGTCTATAGCCTTAATTAGCTTATAAAAGTATATTAAAACTTTATAAATGTAGAATCAATTCTAAACAACTTTAATTGTAGCTCAAAGCAAATTTTTATAATAAAATTTTACGTTATTTACGTTTTAAAAAAAAGTGAATTTTGTCCAAGCAGTGTCTCTACACGTGATTGCTCAATTTACGCGGCATGGGTCGATTTTCTACTAATATGTTTCTAAAATAGATAGAAAGGCCTTTGCTTTGGCTACAATATTATATGTATTTCATTTCCATAGCATCGATATTAATCAAAGATATGATTCATGTCTATAAAAAAATCCCCTAAAATAGAATTTTACGAATTTTGCGTGTAATGAGAATTCATTGATATTTTATCTACTCATTCGTATCCAAGCAATTTTCATCTATCGAAACGTAAATTACGATACAAATTCATTTAAAAAAAAATAAATAAATAAAATTTCTACCTTACATTATGAGTGAATGGAAGATGTCTGAAGTATGTCAGAATGCAACCAAGAATACATTCCAAACACTTGGTGTGCAAACCTTGCAACTCAACAAGATGTTCTTGATTATAATAAAGTAATAGAAAGGATATCTTATGATAGATTCAAGAAATTAAACAAATAGCAAAAGGTGGTTATGGTACTATTTATTATGCTATGTGGGATGGGATAATAAAAATAAACAATGGGAAAAAACCGATGAAATTAGAGTGGTATTAAAAAAGTTTGATAGTATTTTAGATGGTGAAATATCAACTTCATTTTATGGAATTATAAAAGATACAGAAACTCACGAATATATGACGGTACAGAATTTTATGAAGGTGGAAGTCTTTAAATAAAGAATTTGATGATATCGATTGGCAATGTAAATTAAACTATTGACACGGTTTAGCCAAAATATTTTTTAAATTCATCAATTAGATATAGTTCATTGTGATTTTCATGATATGCCGCATGATAAAGATTTAGTTGTGAAATATGTAATAGAAAATTTACACTTTTGAAGAATTATACCAGGAGTTATACAAATACTATTGAGATTATGACGGAAGGAAAGGGAATAATAATGAAATTACAGTTCAAATTAAAGAAGCTGAAGAATTTTCTAAAAATAAAACGATACAACAACCACTTCAATGAATTATAAAACACATCCGCAAGCAGACTTCTCAATTTTTCAAATCTTCCAGAACTTGTAAATGAACCTAATTTTGAAAAAGAACTCGAATAATTAACAAAATCTTTTTATCAAATAACGATAGTAGGTATCAATTATATTTATTTTCATTCCATAATTATTTATATTTAATTTATATTTAAAAAAAAATTTTTAATTAGGCCTAATTTATGAATTTTAACATTAAGTATTTGTACATTATTTATTAATTTTTTGATATAAAATCTTAACATTAAGTATAGAGAATGAAATTATTTATATAACCTAGTTTGTAATTAAGATTTTTTTATTAAATTAAATACTGCATCTCGATTTTTATATATTACAAATAATGAACCGAACCAAATATATTTCAAACATACACCATTGGCATTTATACGTGGTTTCGACGTTCTCTTAAAAAGAAAAAACAGTAAAAAAAAAGGAATAATCAATAATTTGGAATTCTTCGGTCCCTATAAAACATTGGTGTATATTCTAATATTATTATTTAATGCAATTAAGTGATTAAAACACTAGTTTCCGAAATATTGTAACCCTTGTAAACACAGGCTGAGTAGAGTTAAAAAATATTATAACCCAACCCTATCCTTTCGGAGCACTAACTACACCTATCTAGCTGGTAATATTTCAACCTGTATAAAGAAAAAGAGAATTTGCTATGTGAATTGAGTTCTATTTTTAAAAATTTCAACGAAAATTAATAAAAGTTGGAAACGTGAAAAGGACATCCCTTTATATACATGTATATAAAATTTGTTAAGCATTTTGTTAATGTTATTAATTCTTGTTTTATAGTAGAACCTGTCTATTAACATACGTGTATAACCTGTCTTTAAGCGTAAAATTTTTCTGACCCAAGGTCACAAGATTTATATATAATATATATGAAGTCTCAACGTATACAAGCATAACCTGTTTTAAATGCATAGGATTTTCTTGGCCAAAGTACATGCTTATAGACAATTACAATTGTATGTTGTTATGCATGTTGTTAACTCTTTTGACATTTAATTCTCATTAATATAATACTTTTACGTTTAATTCTTTTATAATGTTAAACTATCTTCGTAATGATTACGTGAGGAGGAATTCCGTATTCCGGATTTCTCGGATTTGTATTGACATTTTATTTTTTATTTTTAGAAAATTAAAATTAATTAAATGAAAGAAATACAATAGCCGAATCCTGAAAATAAACAATTCCTCGGATTAAACAACATACCGTTGCCGTATTCGGCAAAAAAAAAAAAAATGGAATTATCAATAAGGATTACCAACAACTTTTCAACTATTGGCTATAAAAATTTCATTTATAAATAAACATTCATTTGTAAATAGTTTATAAATAAATAATAATTGTTCATTTATAAATAAACTTTTACTCGTAATAAAACCGTTGGAAAAGAAATTCATTTATGCTTGGTATAATAAATAAACCGACAAAAATTTTTTTTGATCGTCAAGCTACAGAGCTGAGAGTCGAGAATAATGAATGGAGATGGAGAATGGAGAATGGAGAATGGAAGATAATAAAAAATATATAAAATAGAGAATACACAATTTCATATATGTTTCATAATTAGGGTTCGAAAATTGTATATTTTATATTATATAAAAGGAAAGCTCTTTTTGTTTTATAAAAAAAAAAAGAGAAAAGACGGAATTAAGGAGAAAATATCAAGCCAGAATTGTTATTCCATTCCTCACCCAAATTCGTATTCCAAATGTGTTTCAAATGGCGTTGTCCAAGTGTTTTCCAAGTGCTATCCAAGTGTTGCCCAAGTGATGTAGTGCGTTGCCTAAACTGGTGATATGTCCAACGGCACTTTGTTTTACAAAGTGACTTTTTTATTTTACAAAGTGACCTTTTTATTTACTAAAATATTTAAAATATTTTGGAAAGCTTAAAATAAAAATAAAATAAATAAATAAATAAAAATAAATAAATAAAAATAAATAAATAAAAATATCTTAAATATAACGAAATCTCATGCACAAAATCATCATCTCGTACACAACACATTAAATCATATAACCTAAATATAGTTAAAAATACCATTCTATTTTTTTTCCAGAATTTGTTAAATAATCTCATCACCAACAATATAATATATAATAGTATAGTAATAATGACAATAATAATTAGTCAATATAATAATCCATATATATATATATATAATATCTATGTAATATTATTATATTATAGTATTATATTATTATTTTAGTTTATATTTATTGTCGATTTACAGAACACATTCAGAAAATTATAAAAATAACTCAATTGTATGCGCTTTTTTCTTTTGTCCCGTCTTTTTTTTTTTTTTTAAAAAAAATTTTTTTTAAGGACCTCTTAAATTTTAATAATTAAATAAATAAATAAATATTTTTAAAAAAAAACGACAATATATTTATACCAAAGAGCAATAATATCAAACATAGCGAAACGAAAAAAAAAAAAGAAATTAAAAAAAAAAAAAAAAAAAAACCCCTAATTTTAATAATTTAACAATTATTTCAACTACTTTTTTTTAGTTAAATTATTAGAATTATTAAGAATTATTGTGTTCCAATTACTTCTAATATTATAATAAAATATATAATTGGTTATGGCTACTACAGCGTATTTACCATTACCACTATCGATGCCATTAACGCAATTACCAGATGAAAAAGAATCATTTTTAATGAGATCAAATGATTCGGTTATTTCCTTTGAAAAAAATGTAGATAATGTAGATAATAATAGTAATAATAATAATAATAATAATAATAATTATAATAACTTTTGTAATAATTTTAATAATAATAATAATATTTATAACAATAATAACATCAACAACAGCAACATTACCCATAATAGTAATGATGATAATAATACAGAAACAGAACAATTTAATAATTTTAAGCGATTTAAACAATTAAAACAATTAAAACAATTTAATAATCAATTAAAACAATTTAAATTTTTATATTTTAAACCTACCCAAAAATCCACTACTACTTCCCATCCCTTACTTTCCACCACCACCGTTTCCACTATTACCATTACTACCACTGCCACCACTGCCACCACTGCCACCATTTCTACCACTAACATTACCAACACTGCCACAATTAATTCGTCGCCTGTAAACCTCCTTCCTCGAATTTTATTATTATTAGGATTTGCATTAATTTCATTGGGTGGAATAATAACTTTAATTACTACAATACCTGACCTTTCTTTACCTACTTCATTAGAAGCAGTTAAATCACAAGCCATAATATTAGAAGATTATTCGAATGGATCATGGAAAGGTTATTGTCATATAGTTGGGGTTTTTTCGGTTATTTATATTTGGAAACAAGCATTTTCCGTACCCGGGGCTATTTTTTTGGTAGGTTAAAAATTAAAAAAAATATTAAAAAATTATAAAAAAAAAAAAAAATTAAAAATTAATTAATTATAAATATATATTAAAAAAATAATAAATATGATTTTCTAGAATTTATTAGCCGGAGCATTATACGGAACATTTGAAGCAATAGTGTTAACATCATTCTTAACTTCAATTGGAGCTTCAGCTGCATATTATTTAAGTAAATATGCTGGAAAACCTTTAGTGGATCAATGTTTTTCGGAAAAGTTAGATTACCTTCGTAGACAAGTTGATAATAATAGAAAAAATTTATTTTTTTACCTTTTATTTATTAGATTATTTCCTTTGTCACCTTGGTGGTATGTATTTATTTATTTATATTATTTAATTATATTATTTATTTTATATTATTTATTTTATATTATTTTATTAATTTATATTATTTTATTTATTCACTTATCATCTCATTTAGGCTTCTTAATTTGACATCACCACTATTATCAATTCCAATTAGTTCATTTTTCACTTCAATGTTCTTTGGATCTATACCTTATAATTTAGCATGTGCTCAAGCTGGTAATATTTTATCTGAACTTCAATCAACCACTGATATATGGCAACCGGTTTTATTATTGAAAATGATTTTAGTTTCATTATTAAGTTTATTACCTCCTTTAATTGGTCAAAGATTGAAATCTTGGAAAACATTACAAAGAAATAATTATTTTAAATCTGAACAGGATTTAATTGCATGATTACTATTATTATTATTATTATTATTGTTATTATTATTTTATTACTGTTATTATTGTTGTTATTATTGTTGTAAAAGTATTATTATAATATTCATTTTGATTATCATCATGAAAAAAAAGAAATACTATAAAAATAATACCATCAAGATAATTTTGAAAGATTTTTCTTTTCCATTTTTTTCTTGTATATTAGATTTCATTTTTCACTTCTACCTGTAAATTAATTAATTTTAATATTCTTTTTTTTTAAACTGTATATTTTCTTAATAGAACAGATAAGGATAAAAAAAGACTATTATTATTACTATACTATACTTATTATATCTAAAATGGTATCACTATACTTATTATACTGAACTATTATTACCATTATCGTAAACACAATGTGAATAATGTGTTTTTATAGACATTTTATTTTAAAATGAGAAAACTATTACGGAAATGGAAATAGTGAAAGAATATTCTAAAATTAAAATTCTTCTGGTTACACCTAATTAAACGTTACGTTTTATTAAGAAAATGATTAACTATATACATTGATACTTTCGAAATGTATTTAACCCTTTCTCTTTTTCTTTCTCTTTTCTTTATTTATTTAAACAGTAACTGCCGGTATATTGTATATATTCGTATCTTTAACTGGGAAACAGGAATATTGTATTTTATATGGCGATAATTTACATGAATAATAATAATAATAAATAATATAATAATAAATTAGTCGATTCATTTTTTTTTTGTATTTCATGTACACTGTATAATTTTTACTTATTGATCAACTATCAAGTTTGAAACAGGAATTTTGAATGAATCAAATCTGGTTTCTTTCTTGTGTCATTCATCCCATTCATCTCATTCATATCCAACCACCGCCACCACATTATTACCACAATTAAATTTTACTCACTTTCCCACATTCTCGTTTTTTTTTATATACATAAAATAGATTCATATTGTACTTTCTATCATTATTATTATTCATTATTATTATTCATTTTATTATTCATTATCTTTATCCATTATTATTATTCATTACTGTTATTATTCTAAACCAATTCTTCTGCTTATTCTCATTAAATCAAATTCCCTATAATTGTTTAGCGATAAAATCAATAAATCACGTTTTCGTTTTTTTTTGTAAAAAAAACAAACATTTCAAAAGAATTAATTATTTATGGTTAGATTTTAACCGTATATATCGTTAATTCTCATTTTTATTAAAGATTTTTATTATTACTTTTACATGTGAAAAAAGTGTGAAGTATTTAATTAATTGTCAAATATTCATTATTTTTTCTTTGATAAAAGTTTAAACTCCTAACTAAATTACAGTATTTCATGGAATTTAATGCTCTTAAAATGTTACATAAATTTGCATTTCATATCGATATCGTAAAAAATTTCTTTGAATAAAAAAAAAATGACTGATCTCTATTCAACTGATATTTCATCAATGCAAAGAAATTACGATGATCAAGATGAAATGTTATCCATACTAAATAAAATATTGGCAGACATGATCGTTCAAGGTAAAGCTGCATTGAAGAGTAACGTCGATATCACTGAAAAAGATATGTTCTTGTTGAAGAAAGAGACCGAGAAAAAATAATTACGAGAGAATTACAAGGACCAATTGGTCAACGAAAAAGAAATACTGGTTCTCTTTCGGGCAGTTATTCGGCACCAAATGGATATGGATGCACAAGTCATAATAAATATATACCTATTCTTGTGTAAAATCGCCATCCTTATTGCCACGTTCTTGATATTATACATTACCTTTTCTATCAAGTAACTCATGTGTAAGCGGTTGTTCTGGAACGATACCAAATTTTAACGATTCATCATCTAATATATTATGTTTGGAGGAAGGATATAAGGTCCAACTAATAATGGTCTAGTCAAAATGTCAATCATTACTTCTGGAGAATTTTTCTACTGAAAACATAGATTACTTTTTTGAAAAAAACATTTAGTTTTCGGAAGACAAGTCTCTTTATTTAGATTATTTTTTTTAATATTTTATGTATCTTTTACCTTAATTTGTTTAAATATTAGGAGTGATTATTTGGTTAGTTATTAATTAGTTAATTGCAAATTATTTATATGGTTAGTTTGAAAAGTCTTTGCCTTTTACATTTTTCATTCGTTTATAATTTTTTCTTTTGTACATATTTTTCAATTAAAAATTATTCATTTTATCTCTCTTTCCTCTGCTAATTTTATAAATCTCGTAGTAATCTTATATGTATGAGAAAAACAAAATAAAATAGTCAATTTTTTCACATGTTTATACAAATGGATTAAGAAAATGATGATTTTTATATTCTGGTATTTTAATTTATTTAAAATATTCATATAAACAATATATTAATCATCGTTCACTAAGCAAATTATATGATTTGATGCCCCTTATTTTCTTTAACAACTTCGGTTCCAAGTCAATCCAGAAAGTAGATCAGAATCATAATTATTGGAAATAAAAATATAACATTTTTTTTTGGTAACTCGATATTAAATTTAAAGTTGAACGGAAAATCAAACGTTTGAAATTGAATTTATTGTTTTCGATAGAAATTTGTTCTTTTATAATTCCAGAAGTTGGATAAGTATTATAAAGTAAAAACTATTATATAAAAATTTAGTTTCTTTTTCTACGTCTAATGAACACCTGGCACAATAAAAAATTTACACGTCGATCTTTGAAATATAACTATTTCGCAGTCATTGGTCCTGATATTTATTTTTTACGCCATTTGACAATATAAACTTATCATGAGCTTTCATTTGTTAGCTGCTATTATATAATTATACGACCAAAAAATCTTTTTTTTTTGATTTTAGTTAGTTCTACACAATTAGTATATTATTATTTCTGAAATAAACAGTGTTTGTATTAACACCAGATGAATATATTATAAAATTTGAGGGTTGTATAATAAATTTTATAAATGCCAATTTTTTTTAATTTTTTTTTTGTTCATATCACGTTATAATTAAAAAACATGCATGTTCTATAACAACATTTTTAAGTTACATTGTCACTCTTATTTACTAGATCATGTGAACTTGTGATATAAAGACAATATCGAAATACTTGTAACACTTTTAGTTAATTTGATTTTGTGATAAATTTATTATTATTTTCCCATTTTATAAAATCGAAGTTACAAATAGGATGAATTCATATTCTATGCCTAGTTTTAAAATTTTATAACATCAAAAACTAATAAATAGTGTTTATAATTAATAAGTAAAATACAAATAAAAATATATAATGTCAAATAAAATCTAAAAATCCAAATCAATTATTCCAGAATCCACTAAATAACATAGAAATAAATAAATATAATATAATAAATAAATAAATAAATTAAATAAATAAATAAATAAAATATATTATAATAATACTTACTAGGATATATATCAAACATAGATTTAGTCGATTCCTCAAGTTCCCTTTCGAAATTTTCTTCATTCTTGGGGTCTGGAAGATTTGAAAAATCAAGAAGTCGACTGGTATAAATCGCTTTTGAATGCGTTTCATAGTTAAGAGGAGTTGTTATATTGGTTGATTCTTGATTTGCTGAAAATTCTTCAGCTTTTTTAATTTGAATATAAATTTCTGTATCTTTAATTTTCCCAAGCTTATTGTTACGATGCGTCTCATCCAATAATTCTTCAGTCGTGGGTCTACGTTTAACTCGAGAATCCCAACACCTCATAATCATGCTTGCAATAAGTCTTGGAATATGAAATGGAATTCTTGGTCGTAATCCATTGCATATTTTAATAGCTAAATCTTTATCATGTGGTATATCAGGATATGGGGGAAAGCCCGTAACTATTTCGTAAGCAATAATTCCAAATGAATATACATCAGAAGCTTTTGTATGTTCTCCTCCAATTAATATCTCTGGAGCAATATATGGTAATACACCAAATATATTCTTTTTTCCGGGACTATTTTGATTTGCCCCTATTAGTTTACTTAATCCAAAGTCTGTAATAAATAAAGTATAAGAATCTGTAAAATCTGATGATAAAATATTTCCAGGATGGAAGTCCTGATGAACTATATCAGATTCATGAATAGATGACAACTTCAAGGATAATCCCCATAGCATAGATAATTTTTGTTCCCAATTAATATTATTAAAATTATTTTTTAAATTTTTTCTAAGATCTCCATCTTTTGCATATTCTAAAACCATCATATATTTGTGTGTTTCTGGATCTTGCGTAATTCCATAAAAGTCAATTGAAGAAATCATAGTCGCCCCTGAGTGAATTTTCATCTAATAATACAAAAATTTTTAATTTATAGTTAAAACGTTTTGAAAATTAAAATTAAATATTAATTAAAATATTTACCTCATTTAAGACATCGTTTAAATCCACAAAATCATTAAACATTTTTAATACCACTTCTAATGCTCCATCTCTACAATATCTTGCCCATTGTTGATTTACAATATCCCATTCTCTAATTGATCCATCAATCCACTTAGCATAATGTATTGTTCCAAATCCACCTTTACCTATTTGTTTAACATCTTTTAATCTATCATATGGTATCCATTCTATTGCATAACTTTTTCCTTTAGCATTTAGTTGAATCTCTTGAATGAATTTATCCACTTTGTCACTTCCACTTGTCCAATTATTAAAATTATTTTGGAAATGTTTCGTGTTACATGGTTTGCACCAACTATCCTTATATTCTTGATTACATTCTGGGCATAGATTTGGCATTTTTTTTTTTTGTTTACTTATGGAATAAAAGGTAAAATTTATTATTATTATTTTTTTTTGAAAAAAAGAAACAAATTACATTTAAATTCCAAGTTGTTTTTAGTATGCTCGTTTTATACTTTTATCCTAGAATTGAGCAACCAAATAAGATATATAGATTAAAAATGTAAAAGGCAATTTCTTCGGACTTCGGCAAAAGTTTTTATGTATTTTAATTAGTCAAACGAAAATCAATTCATTGTGTGAATTTGTGATACGTATTACAATTAAAATAACATGCCGCGAAAAAAAAACATTTCTTTCTGGTTTTAGATCAACTATTTATTATTATTTTTATTATTACAGTATTTAGGGTTTTGCGCAGTTAATTAGGACGAACTAATTACAAAGTTGCGAAATACAATCTATTTACTCTTTAAAGTACTTATGATCCCTTACTTCTGTTGGTTATGTCAAAAAGATTTTATCTTTTCCAAAGCATTCTTTCCCAAATTCAATGACAAGCCAAAAAATCCATTTATTAACTTTCCCCATGAAACACTTCTGGTATATGGAAGTTCCCGACCAAATAATTAAATCAATTATTTTAACTCCTCGTACAAATGAATTTTTTTCAACTATCATTTCTGATCTTGCTTTAACTACAAATTATTCCATATAAATTTGAATTTGAATTGATTTTACGCGGATCTAGATTTGCTCCGCAAACATCTTGGGTTGCCATGGTCAAGCTCATACAGTTGTTGTGACGAAAATTAAAGGAAAATACTTACCCTTTAGCATAGGTGATGGTAATGATATTCGTAAATTCCTACCAGAGTAAAATATTCCAAAATGGCTATTCTAATAAAAAAGAAGTTGTTTCCAATTTGGAGGTGATTTTTGGATGAATAGCTCTAAATCTAAATCTAATTTTACTTTAGATAATGAAATTTTTTGTAGTAATAAAAGCAATTGTTATGAAATACTATAAGAACAACATCATTACCAGAACAATTTTCAATTGTCAATTATAAAGTATTTAAAGTTATTTAGAAGTTCATTCTTTAGAAGATTTATGATGCATATATATATAATATTATTAAACATGTCATGTATTCGTATTATATATTAGTATCCTTTAAATAAAACTTGGTTTATAATATCGTCCCTAATTGAAATTGCGCATTATTATAATTGTTTATTAACAGTTCTTCGTTCGATTCATTTCGTCATTTTTCGATTTTACATGGTTTGCACCAACTTCCATCACATTTTTGATTACATTCTGGCATACAGATGGCATTTTTTGTTTACTTATGGAATGAAAGATAGAAATTTATTATTACTTTTTTTTTAAAAAAAAGGAAACATAAATTACATTTAAATTGCAAGTTATTTTTAGTATGCAAAAAAATCGCATTTATTAATGACATTTTATACTTACATAAAAATATGATCATAGAATCGAGCAACCGAATAAGTTATACAGATTAAAAATGATGTAAAAGGCGGACTTCGGTAAAAGTATTTATGGTCAAACGAAATTCAATCCATTGCGATACACGACAAAAAATTTAATCACGATCTCATTAGGTAATTATCAGAGAAACACCCGTGATCGAAATTTATCATAGTGCGTAGAAATATATAGTCCCTCGGACAATAATATGTAAATCACTATTACAATTAATCACGCGAAAAAAAAAAAAAACATTTTATTTAATTTTTTTCTGGTTTTAGTATCAACCATTATTATTATTTTATTATTATCATTTATTATTATTATTATTATTATTATTTATTTTTATTATTATTATTTATCATGAACCAATTTATTACCCACAAATAATAAAATTATTAAAAACCCAATTAACTTCAAATCCTTTACTTTCTTTCAAAGGAAATCATAATATAAAGTACCAGAATTATAAGATACTACAACCCATCGATAAACGCGTTGACACCTTCCCATTTTAAAATCACACCATCATCACTACCTATATGGGGCATAGGGTTCAAGTGAAGAAAAGTACGATTTTGTGTCTAACGGTCTTGAAATTGGATTGAAATATCGTCAATAAGAATTGTTTTTGCAAAAATTAAATCCGAAAATACTCTTTTCTTCACTTTACCAAAGTAATAATTTGAGTTTATTTTTTTTTTTTGTGAGAATGTTTTTTTGTTTTGTGATGATTTATTTTTTTTAGATGATTTCGTTTTTTGTGATGATTTTGTTCTTGTGATGGATGGTGATTTTGTTTTTTGTGAAGAAGGGAAGAATGATTCATGAAAATTTTTTAAATATAATTAAATGAATGACTGAATTAATTTTTAATTTGATTTTAATGAATAATTTTAAATTCACTTAAAATATTTAGAGAATAAGTAGCAAATTTAACATAATCTAATTATCTAAAATGATAAAATTATAATTAACAGTAAAAAATAAAATTGTATCATTTACATATAATTACGGTCTTAACCAATAGAAAAGTTTTGTTACATTTCAGTATTTTTATATTTCTTAGGTTTTAATTAGGGCAAAATTACAAAGTTGCGAAATACATTCTGAAATACAATTTATTTACTCTTTAAAGTATTGTGATCCTTTACTTCCGTCATTTCGCATTTCTTTCACAAAATTCAATGACGAGCCAAAAAATCCATTTACTTGCTACACCAAATATCAACTTCCCCGTAGCGATTCTCTTAAAACACTTCTGGTATATGGCAGTTCCCGAAAGTGCATTCATTGATACAGCGACTAGACACTTTGGTTAAAAAAATAATAATAATTTAACGATTTTCCTCAAAAAGTCCTTGTTGACATGATGAATTAATAATAATTATAAATTTATTTATGATTTATTATTATTATTATTATTGTTATCAACTACAATAAATCTTATTTATTTATGTGTAATTATAATATGAAGTGTCAACATATTAAGAAAAGAATAACCAAAAATTCATTATTGAGATATTTAAATGTTATATTATCTTGTAGTGAATAATATAACGCAAAAATGTTCTTATTAATATTCTTAATGACTACAAGTCTTTATCTGTGAAGATGATGAATTTGAAAATTAAAATTCAAAGTCATTGACTAAATTCTGGAAATAGAGAAGATTTGTATTATACCATAGTAATTATTATATTTATTGTTCTATTAACTTTAATTTTATATTATTATTTATTTTAAATTTCAATTTTGTGAAGGTATAAATATCTAATTATCATTAATTTATTTATAATTTTCATTCTAAAGAAATGGGTCAAAAATTTTTTCACTCAAGTTTATATCTAAATTCTATTCCTTCAAATTTTAATGAATATGTATAATATTAATTCTTTATTTTTCATTGAATAGAAGTATCATTTAAACTAACTAAAATTTTACTTTGAAAGAAAATCTAAAGTAAAATAATATAATCAGTGAGCATTTAGATTCATAATTATTGAAATCAATGTTTTCAGTTATTGTGAATCCAAATACTCACAAACTGTAATAAAATACATATGTGATAATTGATTAGAGAATATTGAATCAACATTTAAATATTATATAACACTTCTCTAACCAATTATAAACTTATCAATATATATTATATTACCGAAAGTGATCATTTAGATTCATAATAATTGAAATTAATGTTTTCATATAATTTAATATCAAATAATAATTCTTTAATTAATATTTTTAGGTTTCCTTCTAAATTCCTTGAATATCATCAAGATGATATTAGAAATTGGTGCTGTCCATGTAATATCAAAAGATTTCAAAATGAATTTGATAAATGGACAAGTGGAAATAGAAAAATTGATGAATTAATTCAACAAATACAACTAAATGCAAATAAAAATCAAGAAATTATTGAGTGGATTCCATTTGACAAACTTAAAAGAGTCAAATACCTTGCTAAGGGGGATTTTAGCACAGTATACAAAGAAGACTGGCTTGATGGACTTATTCAACCTTTGTTTTATGAAATAAATGATTGGAGGAGGTCTTATGATAGAGATGTTTGTTTGATTTCACAAATAAAAATGAATTTTTGCAAGAGGTAAATATTTCACATTATTTAATTTTCATTATTTTAAATAAATAATAATTATATTTTATGCTAATAAATATTTTAGATTAAAAATCAACTTAAGTTTCGAGGTAAAAAGGCAATTTCAATATATGGCATCACCAAAAAATCCAACAAAAAATGAATATATGATTGTTATGGATTATGCAAAATGTGGAAAATAAAATTATACATTTTAAATGGACTTAAAAATATCCATGAAATGGGCTTAATACATAGAGATTTTCATTCTGGTAATATATATTACTGATTTTGAACTGTGCAGACCAGTTACAGAAAATAATTCAGAAAAAATTTATGGTGTAATTCCATACATGGCACCTAAGACATTGAGTAGGGAAGTATACACTCAAGCATCTGACATTTATTCTTTTGGTATGGTTATGTTGGAAGTTATCCACCATATTATAATATTTCACATGATGCAAATCTTGTAATGAACATTTGCAAAGGACATAAACCAGGAATTATGTGTGAAATTCTTCAATTTCTCAAAGAAATAATGGAAAAATGCTGGAATTTTGAACCTCTCAATTGTCCAACTGCTGAAGAAGTGAAATTCCAACTTGATAAATGTAAATGATGATAATGATGATGAAAATTTGAAGTTGATGAATCAAACAAGAATTTTATCCAATATGATCCAAAAGAAATGCATCCTGAAGCAATATATACAAGTATACTTATACCTAAACTTACAATTTCTGAATGTGATACATTTAGTAAGTATATTTGTAAGAAATAAATTTTATTTATTTATTTATTTATTTTTTTTTTTTAGAAAAAAAGGATTTTATTTTAATTTATTTGCTTAGATTCAAGACAGCAATTTTTTTCAATTCCTGATGATACAATTGGTAAATTTATTTCTTTAATTATTTGTCTGATGTATTTATATTAACTATATTTAAATTTTTATAGTTGAAGATGAAGAAAATGAAACTTAAGAAATAGAATGTAAATCTAATTCACTGGAATTAATTGAATAATTGGTTTAGAATATGTATTTTTAGCTTTAAATATGCTATATTTTATTTTATTATATTTGATATATTATTTTATTTGTCTATTTTTATTACTTTATTTGATCACTGGAATTATAAAGTATAGCTTTTATTTAAATTAAAGCAGACCAGTATGTAATTATTTAAAATAAATCTTTTATTGTCTTGATATTTCAAAAATTTAAGTATTTGTAATCATTTATTATTTGTGTTTAAACAGTATAAACTGAAATTCCATGTGAGTTGATTTTTCTTTTTTAACTTTTATAATTGATGCACAAACAACAAAACAGTTAGAAATTTTAATGATGTGATATTGTGGAGCCAAGTTTCCAATATGCTGGGTTTAGACCCTTGAGAGATCTGGCAATTCTTTATATTGAAAAAAAAAATATAAGAAGTATGCCATAAATTAGTGAAGGGGATACAACCAGAAAAACTGACTGAAATATGGAATTGTGCAACTTTTTTTAAAATCTAAAAATTCCAAGGGTGATAATTAAATTGATAATAAAAGTACGTATGTATAAGAAAATTTTAAATATATTTTTTTTTAAAAATATTTTTATTTCATTTATTTTTTTCTTTACTTAAATTCGATAAAAATAATTTAAAATAATAAACATATGCTGCTGTAAAAAAAAATATTAATACAAAAAAAAAATCGAGGAAATAAATATATATAAATAATATATAAAGTAAATGATTATTTCACTCCACTACCGATAATAATAATAATCAAATCAAAATATCATTAAAAAACAAAAAGAGATGATTATGAATTATTTTTTCTTTTTTTGTCTCTCTTTTCTATACGCAGCTATCCTTTCCTTCAATTCAGTATCTAAATAATTAATAATTTATATAAATAATTAATAATTAAAGATAATTATTAATAAAAAAAAATAATGAATTACATACTTGGTATAACTTGATCAATAGTCAAAGGTTTCCTATTAAATGGATCCATGGCATCACATAAAAGATGAGTTGTTATAGTACTTCGATCAATGGAAACCTTTGATTCGGGTAAAATTACTGGATCTTCCATTATCTCAAACATTAATGGATCTATTATAAAATAAATATAATGATAAAATAGATTAATAAATAATTAATAAACATTTAAAAATATAATATAATAATAATTGTAAATCAAAAATAATTAGCAAATTAATTAATTAATTAATTAATTACCCAAAAATTCTTCAGGTATTTCACCCAATTCCTCTTCCTTCGCTGCTTCATTCTTAACAACTTCTTCCACATTATCTACAAATTCTTTTAATTTTTCCACATCCTTTTCAGATTTCAAATTTTTTTTTAATAAAATTCCCGCGGCCTTGGAGAAATGATCTTTGTGATAACTTCTACCATCCCTGGCCACAGCTTGAATGAATTCTTTCCGATCACAGAGATTCAGGTAAATGTTAATCAATTGAGATAATAATTCTCTTGGTTGAAATCGATACTTTTCGGGATTTTTAACTTTTAATTCGGTACATTTCGGTCCCACCAATGAAACCAAATTATAATCCATCATCGCGGCCAAGCGTTCAACGATTTCGGGAGTTAAAAATGGTTCAACTACTTCAGATGTCATATATTCTAACATGTGAACAGTTTCATTTCCTAATGCCATGTATGAAGTCGCTTGTCGTTCATATGATCGAAGTAAACCTTCACGTTCTTGTCGATAATTCTACATTTTTAATTTATTATTGGAATATTAGATATTATTAATTGATAATTGATAATAGATTATTTAATATTTTAATATATTTTATAATCTATTACATAATATTAATATTTTATTTTATAAAACTTACGGGTGTTTCTTTTTCCCATTGCTCTTTATTATCCATTTCATTTTGAATATTATGAATATCAGTTAATTTCGATAAACTTTCATCCAATAAATATGTTGCATCATTCATAAGTAAATTGGCGAAACGTACAAACGATTCTGTTTTTCTAATTTATTTAATAATAAATGATAATATCACAATTAATATGTTATATTGAATAATAATAATATGCTTAAAATATTCTAAATAGATTAATTAATTAAAAATATTAGAATTAGAACTTACCGACTTTCTTCTTTTAATCTTTCTCTATGAGTACGATTATCCCATATTGACTTAAAAATTTGTGAAATATTATATCGAATATTAAATTTATCATAAAATTGAGTATGGGCACCAGTTTGTTCCACCTCTGAAAAAATAGAGAGAAATAATAATATTAAAAAAATAATGTTACAAAATATTAATAAATATTATAAATATTAAAATATTAAAGATAATGTTATAAAAATATTAAATATTAAAATATAAATAAATATTAAAATATTAAAATATTATTAAAAAATAATAATAAACTTACCAACATAAAATGACATTAAAGAAGGCATCAAATGATTTAATGCGATTGGGTGAGTTGCCAATATTACACCCATTCCACCTTCATTTTCATTCCGTATTGTAAAGTGAAATAGGATTTCAACAAATTTAGCTTTTAAGTATGGATTCTTTACGTAAGCTGATGAACTAAGGAATGTGATGATAAAAATTAGTAATTCATCTCGCGAGACGGTATTTGCAATCCTTGGATTATATCTAGTTATTATAATAATTGAATAATGATTAATAATTAATAATAACAGTAATAAGTAATAACTACTAAATAATAGTAGAAAATAATTAATGAATAATAAATAATAATAATTATAGATAATTATACCTTGAAATAAATAAGAAAAATTCTGCAATATCTTCAAGGATATATTCAGGTAACATTGTAAAAGCTTTGGGTGGTATTGGTGGTAATGGTAAACTAGATGATAAATATAATAATGTATAATAACGTATAAGAATATTTAATTATATATACATAATAATATAATAAAAAATGATTATATATAATATTATTAATTACCTTATTCGAGTTGAAGGATGTTTACCAGAAGGATCAACAATTCTTAATATCCAATTCATAACCAAATTATAAAATCTAAGTGAATATGATAGTGCTGCAGGATCTAAAAGTTGAGAATCATAAGCTACTTTGTGTGATGCTCCTTTATCTAATTGTACCTAAAAATGAATAATTATTAATTGAATTATTAATTGATTGTTAAATGAATTATTAAATATTATTAATTGATATTATAAATATTATTATTCAATTTAATTAATACAAACTTTGCATCGTTTAAGCAGTTCTTCATTCACTCGAGCATTAGGTGTCTAAAAAAAAAATTTCGATTCATTATTAGATAATTCAATGATAAATATATAATATAAATATATAATATAATTAAATATAATATCATTAATAAATATGATAACAAGTTGAATTTACTTACTCCCAACCAATTAGGTTGATCTTCTTTCATTCGATCATATTGTTTTTGAAGTTCAGATAAATCTCTTAAGAAATTATTATATTTCTCATAACAATGTAAAGGTCCATAATGATGCATTGATATTGTCAAGAAAAATATTTCTGATATGAAATTTGGTTTCGGTTCTAATAATTAAATTAATTAAAAATAATTAATAATTTAATAATTCATTAAAAATAAGTAATATGAATTAATATGAATTAATATGAATTAATATCAATATTATAATTACCACTTGAATCGACTGAATTATAATATTCATCAGATTCCTGTTGATTTGCTTTAATTTTTGTTTCTTGGCTAATATCAATTCTCTTTGATTTACGGAAATAGTCGATATCAATTCGGTCAATCTAATAAATAATAACAAATTTAACAAATTTAATAAACATAAAATATAATGATATAACAAATTTAATATAATAAATATAATAAAATATAATAAAATATAATAAAAATATAATATTAATTACTTTAGAATAAGTATAATCCATAAATGGTTCGGCAAAACTTAATAATAATCTCGTTAAATTTACTATAAATCCATCAGTTCCAACTTGTAATGGGTCAACATGCATTTGAGCTCTTTTTTGATTTAATTTAATAACCGTAGCCCAAAAGTCAAGTACTGCTTCCCGAGCCGAAGGTGATGATCGAATTATATTATTAAATATCGTAAATAATGAGTTCTTTTTGTAATTAATTTAATATAATTGATTAATTAATATGTTGATTAATATACTTAATGTGTTGATAATAATATATTAATTTATTAATAATTACTTGAACTCCTTGAATAGCTGCTCTTAAACTTGACATTTCGGATTCAATATCTGATTGACGTCTTTGTTGGACATTACTAAAATAACTTTCAGCAACAGATGGCTGATATATTTATTAAAATAATAATATTATAAATAATATTATTATAAATATATGATTATTACGTAAAATATAAATATGAATATATAAATAGAAATATTACCTCATCCATAGGAAACACGGAAACACGACAGAATGGTCCTAAAAGTGATGCCTGTTCAAATGCTCGAGGGGGCAAATTAGGAGGATTCCAACTTGGCATTTTTGGTAACTATTTTATTTTTTAATTTTTAAATTAATTTAATTTTAATATAAATTAATTAATAATTTATATTTTTATAATAATAATAATTGATATTAATTTAATAAATAATATTTACAAAAGCGGCCAATGCTTTGATATTCGATAATGTTAGCAATAACTAAATAAAAAAATAAAAAAATAAAAAAAATGAAAAAAAAATGAATAAATATAAATAAATATTAATATCATTATAAATTATATAATAAAATAATTATAAAATATAAATTTATAAAATAATAAAATGAATAGAAATATTTACATTTAAAGGATGCAAATAATCCCCCGTTAATATATCTTTTGACCGCATTTGAGCTGAAAGGGCTATTAAAGAAGGTCCAAACATTCCTTCAAATTCTTCTTCTTCAACTTTTTCCGCTAATTCTTGAACAAAATCCCATGGTAATCCTTCTGGAGTATCAATATCTACTAATAATCTTTGAACAAGTTGTTGTGGTCCATATTCGATTGACCTAAAAAAAAAATAATTTGATTAATTAAATTTGATTGATTAAATTTGATTATCTAATATCAAATTATTTTAAATTATTTTAAATTATTTTAAACTATTTAAAATTATCTAAATTATCTTTAAAATTGTTTAAATTGTTTATTTTAAATTAATAATATTAATGAAATTTACTAACGTGTTATTAACTTGTGGAAACATATCAGGATATTGAATAACTAATCCCGAATAATTAATAATGAGGCCTTTTAAAGAATCAATAATATTAACTCGACTATTAATAATTGATTGGTCCAAATTCTATTATAATTAAATATAATTAAATATTAAATATGATTATAATAATGATAATAATAATAATAATAATTTATAAATTAATATAATAAATTAATAATACCTTTGAAGAACGAGTTAATAAATTTCTTTTAATTTCTACAGCTCGTTTCCAACAATCTAATAAATAATCAAATGACGGTATTTGTGGTACTATCACATCTTCGTCTTCATCTCTCATTTGATTAGGATCTAACGATAATCTTGCCACCAATGAATTATCAAGATTCGATTTATTGAATTTGAATATAGTCATTTCTATGTCAATTATAAAATAATTTAATTAATAATTTTATTAATAATTTTATTAATAATTTTATTATATTTACCTGGATTCTCTTCTTTTAACTCTTTAACAACAGAATCAAGATACACCAATTTATTGCCACTTCTTTGTGCTACTGATTTCTTTTTATAATAAATTATTTTATCATCATCATCAATTAATCATCATCATTATTATAATCATCATATTTATCATCTTGAAAATCATCATTAAAAATCTTCCTTTACTAAAAAATCCCTCAGTCAACAAGAAATAAATAACTTACATTAAGAGTAATTCCTAGAACTTTAGATATCGCTTCATTTTGCCAATCCTCAAAAGATTGTTTAGGTTTTTGTATGATTGATTGTTGTCGTTCAGGTTGTTGCTGTTGAAGGTTGATGAATTTTGTTTGAGATCTAGGTTTTTTAAAGAAACACCAAAAAAATAAATTAAAATAAATAAAATTTCAATAACTCACCCTTTCAACAACTATCTTCATCTTTTCGTTTTCTTTCTCTTGAACACTCAATTGTTTAGTTTTCTTTGAATTCATCACTTTACTATTATTGGAACTTTCTTCTGATCTTGAAGGCATCGAAGCTGTTGTTGACGTCTCAACCGAATTATTGTTATTATTTGTATTACTATTACTTGTATTTGCTTGCTGTTGTAATTTTGCTAAACGTTTTAATCGAATCTATAAAAAAAATATTTATATATATAATATATATAATTTAGTACTTTTATTTCTAATCTGTTCTCTACTCTGTTCTTTACTTAATTTGTTTCTTTCTAATTATTTTTATCTCTGTTTTATTGCGAAAAAAAAAAAATTTTACCCTTTCCGCATCGCTTAATGGTGTTGCCTCGGTTTTGGTAGGAGTTGTTTCCATATTTGCAAATCCCAAAAAACCAAAGAAATAACAAGAATTCCAGAAAAAAAAATAGATCTAGTAGTAGTAATTCTAGATGTTTGTTCTAACACTACTATACTTAAAATAAATCCAAGATTTAATAATGCTACCCGTATATATCTGTTCAACGACAGCAAATACACGACATTACACATTCACGCACGTGTTCATTTGTTTGTTATCTCAAGGATCCCACAATCTAATCAAACGATAAAATAATATCGATGATGATTTCCTTGATAATTAACTTTCAAAAACTTTTCTTTGGCAAGAAACGAATTTTCTAAGAAAAGAATAAAAAAAAAATTATTTTTTGTGGTCGTTTTTTTTTGGCTTTAGAAAAGGAGATCAATAAATTACTCCGGGTTATCTACCGTACTATATCTCCATTATTATTGTTATTAGTACAGTTCGTCTTAACGGGGACAATAATGATATGATATTAAGATTCTATTTTTTTTTAAAAAAAAAAATTTTCTTATTAATTTCAATATTCATTATTTTTTTATTATTTATCTGTATATACCAATAATGTTAAATAATAATAAAAATGTTAAAAATAATCGCATTATTAAATAAGTTAACAGAATTTTATTTTTGGTCTGTTTATTGATATCTTATTTGGGTCTTCTGTGAAAACTTAATATCATCATTATCAATTTCTTTACTTCTTTACTAGTTTTATATGTCATAAAATTATCCCTATTTATACTTTCTGTTCTTTAGCATCCTATCTTATACACTTTTCTTCTTAAATCTTCACTTCTTGTTTAGTTTCTCATCAAGAAAATTTATAAGGCATAATATTCCGTATTTATTATGGGACAAAAATTTCCGTAATATTTACAAAAAAATTTTGGAATATATTTCGATATGTAATAATTTTTGGCAAATCGTGGACTTATTACACTTCAAAAAATTCCATATAATTCCGTAAAACTTTTCGATATTTTTTGCAACATAATTTTACAAAAATATTTTTTGCTTTTTATAAGTTTTTTATAAGTTTTTTAAGCATTTTTTCATAAAAAATAATAAATAAAAAATAAAATAAATAAAAAATAAATAAAAATAATAAATTAAAAAATAATAAATTAAAATAATAAATAATAAATAAAAATGAAAATAAATAATAAAAAGTTAACTAACTAAACGATATAATCAATAAATTTTATTACCTGAATTCATCAATTTATTTATTAATTCATTCCATAATAATTTCCAATAACTGACCATCTTATTAAATTCGATTAAATCAATAATTAAAAATAATTAAAAATAAGAATTAATAAATTTAAATATATTCAAAATAAATAAAATCAATAAAATCATATTATCTCATAATACCTTTCCATACACTATACATTTGTTTTAATAGATTATTTAAATTTTTATTTCAGCAATATTGTTTAACAAATCAACATTTGACGAAGATTCCATTTCGAGAAGGTGGATTACCACTAGAAATCTCCCAAAGAACAATTCCTAGACCAAAAATATCAGAACTCTTATTTTTCCCAATTGTGCTGAAGAATTCCAAATATTGAGGATCCATGTATTGTATTGGGCCAAGAGTATTTTGTAAAGAATCGGAAATAATTTTTATTAAACCAAAACATTTAAATTTAATGATCCCATTATGAAAAAGAATAATTTTAATTATAAAATAAATAAATAAAATTTAAAGATAATTCATTTATGAAATTTGTTTTTGAATGAGAATATTTTTTTTTAAAAAAAAATAATTACGAATTTCCCAAGAATGATATCATTAGAATGTAAAAATATCAAAACATTTGTAATTTAGTTTGAGATTTAATTTTGTATTACAATTCATTTTTTGAAAATTGGTTTTCAAATATTGACAAAAGAGAACCTTCATTAACATAATCATAATTTATCGCTCTTTGCAAAATTATGCGGTCATGTGATAAAACGATCTACTAATAAAATGCCGAAAACCAGTGATTACAA